AGGACCACAGCAGAGTCTCCATCCACTGGAGGAGAGATGTAGCTCCAACAGGCAGGCAGGTTGCAAGAGCGTGTCAGTGAGCCCACTCACCCCTCATTGTAAACGTGCCGAGTGATGTATTTCCAGATGTCAGCACCCTGACCCAGACACAACCTGAAACAGAGAAATAAAAATAAGCAAAAAACAAAACAACATAAAAAATAAGTGCAGCGTGTGTGGTGTCAGGAAGACATCACTCTTATTCTACAATCTTGCTTATACTGCACTGTAAAACCCGGAGCGAATCACAGAGCCACAGCACTGGGCAGGAGCCTCACTCACGTCCTGAAGTAGCTGTCCGGAGGCAGGTCACGGGCCGGCAGCTCCAGCTCCTCCACAATCCAGCGCTTCAGCACCTGTGGCAGATCCTTGTCTCCCATCCTGTCAAATCCAGGCGTGAACTGGGTCCACTCCAGTTTCCCAGCCTCGGGTGAGAAGGGCTGGCTGTCAGGCAGCAGCACAAACACAGGGATTCACTCCTGATCCTGGATGGGCTGCAATCCACCAGGTTTTATAGGCAACTGCGGGACGAGGAGTGAATATTAGTCAATGACTGCCCACTAATTAGTGAGTGCCCACAGCGTGGATAAGATGGTTTCTGCAGGGTCTCCAGTCAGACACCCCACACAGCAGCCTGTCCCCAGCTGTGCGATGAAAGTGTGGCCACAATGCAAAACCCGGAGTGGACCAGACTGCTGTGCACCGGGAGTCCGACTGACCCCAGCGGGTCAGACTGCAGTGCACATAAACAGACCAACACCGGCACCACTGCCGCGCAATGCGAGTCTGACGGTGTTAGGCGTTGCAGGAGTTTCACCGTTTAAATGCGCGTCTTCCAGTGTCCCGTCACCTGCGGCTGTGAATTCACGACACGGCCGGTCAGGCTCGGCTCTCGGTGAGCGAAGGGAAACGAGCACAGGGGCCTCTGACCTCCCTCCGCGCAGTCAGACACGACACTCAGCTACTAACTTCACCTTCCGCTCGTCTCCGTGAGCCGAGAGACACAGCGTGAAGCCCCTTTTACTGATATGCAGGAAAAACATAGTGTCGAAATATCACTGCTGCCCATTCTGTCTGCTGTCTACCGCTAACTGAGGAGACACGGGTGAAACGTATTTGTAAAAACTTGACAAATGCAAGCAATAGTTTTTATTACAGTTATAGTTTTCATTATAATAGTCACTCAGAAACGGTTTTACAACACGATTAAATAAATAAACCGCCTGATACCTTTTTTTATCCTAGTTTCGCTCAACCCGGTCAAACAAACGGCAGCATCTTATTTTGAACCTCGGAAACATTTCCTACTTCCCGCCGCCACCGCGTCTCTTTATCAGAGGCTTTTCCGTTGACGTCACGCATGCAGGGCGTCTTGGGAACTGTAGTTTTCTTTGATAGATACTTTATTGATCCCGTGAGGGAAATTGCAGTGCAACAGCAGCTTAACACTGACAACACAGGCACAGTGGAACGAATGATACAATAATAATAATAGTACAATACATACAATACAATCAGTACAGTGAGGGTGCACTAAAAGAGTTACTCACAGTCTGGACACACATCTCCTGATGAGCTTGTTCAGCCTGTTGGAATCCACTGCTCTAATCCCAGAGCCCCAGCACACCACTTCGTAGAAAATGGCACTCGCTACCACCGACTGATAGAACATATGTAGCATCTTACTACATACATTGAAGGACCTGAGCCTCCTCAAGAAGTGAGCAGTACTGCAGATGGTGACGTCGATCAGTGATTTTTTTCTTGTCTTTTTAAGAGTGTTTCACAATCGTTTACACATTGTTTAAGACTACACTCCCTATACTCAAAACTATAAACACAAATGGCAAAACCTTTGCCCAACTGGGCAAACAGCAGAAATGTCAAACAAAATTAAACATTCTTCTCTTCAAAAACATGTTATCTTCCATCTGAACAAAATGTTGTGTTTAAAAGACACAGATAACCCATTTAACAAATAGACCCTACAGAGTAGCTGCTTAACATTCTCAGCATTTCTTGCAACCACTGGTGCGAATCACGATTAGGTCTCTTGCCACTGTTCCAGTTACGCCAGGTTTGTGATTGGAAATTGAACAATTGTACCCCTCAGGGTTTTCACTGGAGGAGTGGGGGCTGTTAATTGATGAATGGAGCTCAGGCATTAACACCTGAAAGCAGGTGATTTTACTGATGACAATTCTTTGAGTGTGAGTGAAGCTCTGCTCATTCCTGCTGAAACTGTGTTCCTTCAGGTAGGGAGGAAATCTATCAGCTGCTCTGGCCTCGAGCAGGAAAGTCTGGACCTGCGGTCTGGAACTGAGCAAACTGAGACAATGCTGTTTGTTTCAATTTTGAGATATTTTATTTTACAAAACAATGCATGTAATAACAGTGTATATACACACAATGTACAGTGCATGATACAAAATAGGTAAAGTCCAAAAACAGTCTTATTTGTACAAAATACAAGGAGAGATCGTTTGGTTACAAGTACAGTGAACAGGAGGTGGTGAAATGTCACTGCGGTTGAAATTCTGATAAAGAAACGGCCTGATCCCTCACAAACATAGTGAGGGATCAGGCTCCAATACAATACGAGAGCCGGCAAATGTCAGACTGTTCTACTGAAAATGTATAGGGGTGATTGAATCATTCATTCAGACTTCAAGCATGGAGAAGGTCTGACACACTTTCCAAAATCCTCTGGATCAAAGAACTGAATTCTGTGCTGAGGAGGAAGAGACTGAAACGCTCAAAGACCAAAGAGCTGTCGAGTGTTTAATGAATAACAAATTTCAGAAATGCCTGCACAGGGAGGTGGGGGACACATCTGAGCGTCACACAGGTTTTGCTGATGGGATTCGGATGCCTGTGTCACGCAGATATCAGTCCCACCCCAGTTCCTTCTCATCGGCCAGCGGGGACTTCACCTGGACTGCTAAGAGTGCAGTGTGGGTCAGCTGGGGTGTTGGAAGGGTTAATAGTTGTGTTAATGGAGGGTTTTAATGAGTTCGGAGTGACACATGTTCACAGGGGAATAGAAGAGCACTCTGCTGCAGCACAACCACTCAGACCTGGTGTCTCCTGACTGCCCTGATACACAGACATAACAGACACTTCTGCGGAATCGCAGGAAACGTCAGAAATAAAACAGGAAGTCTACGGCAAGCAGTGAACTACCAGCATGAATGGTAATTCCTTGTGTTTTTAGCAAGAAGATATGCTACGTTTATAAACATATACATCAATAAATATAGTACACTTAAAAGTTTCCATAGCTTATAAAAGGAGCTGCGCTTACACAATTTTCACCCAATAAATAGAGGCAGTAAGACGAAGTGCTTGCGTGAGTCCCGAGGGTCAGCTGTGAGTACAGGCTAAGGGCTCCTGCCTGGACAGCCTTCATTAAACAAAGGGAATGTTATCTACAGGCTGTGTTGACACGGCTGCTGTTTCCTCTGAGAGATGAGAGAGTTAAGGCTGACATCACCCTGGAGTGACGAGGGTGGGTGATCCCGGAGCTGAGCCATTGCCAGAATTGTCCAAGGGGTCTCAGGGCCCCCCACTGATTTTCATATTCTGAGACAGGGGTTTGTATTAATATGGCTCCTGGGGCATCCAATTAAAGATGCTGAGAGAGAAAGAGACAGAGGGATTGTCTGTACAGGGGATGTGGCAGTGCCTGGATAGTGCTGGTTTGTTCAAATAAAATCTCTACATGGAGAAAGTAAACCTAGTCTGCATACTGTTTAGGACTGATAAGGCCAGAGCATTTCAACATCTACCCTCCCATTTTGCTCATCTGTGGTCATTGGTTGCTTTCAGGCTCCTTCTTGTTTTAAATGGGATACAACAAACAGAAACTGCCTCAAAAAAGACTTCTCAAAGCTCAGCACCAGGGAGAGGCCCAGGGAAGGAATTCAGTGTCGCACTCATTGGCCAGACCTGTGGTGTGACACTGAAACTCTTCCCCTACGCACCTTCCTCTCAGAGGTGCCTTCGGGACTAGTTGGCCCTGGGGTGACCAGTGTGCTTGGTAAAAGGCTAACAGGGGTCTCTCACCCTAGCAGGCCAATTGGGAAAGGAAATGGTAGAAGAATGCAGCTGACATCAGTCACACTTTAATTTAAAATTTCTATTTCTTCACTGGAGAACTCTCCCATCCGGATCAAATTTCTCCCACACCATTCTGAGGAAACGGAAAGCAAAATTGAACTAAACAATACATTTGTTCCCAGGCTAGTAGCCCTACTTTATTCCCAAAGGTACTCCCATTGGAACAAGGAGAAATCTGGGAACGTCAAGAGCCGTGCAAGAAAACTGGACTTGAGCAATGCTGCACAATACTGCTGTCCATCAAAGGACCATCAGCACTATTTTTAAAAACATGTCAGGATTAAAGTGATTCCTGTATCAGTTTATTTGTAATGGTGTTACAAGCCCAACATAGCCCAGCTGCTTAGATCCTGTAGTCTTGGGAACGACCTTGACCTTACACAGATAACTGAGAAATTGCCTATAGGCTTCTGCAGAAATGTCCCAGTTCTCTCCAGAACATTATAGCCGTCAAGAGATAACTGGGACATTCGTGTAGAGATGTTTAGGCTACCACTGTTAGGTGGTGTGTCTGCCCGTTGTAGTCTATAACTGTGGGACACTGTGAGACTACAAATCCCAGCTGCCCTTGAGGTGCGTCACCTCCTGGCGGGGCAGCAGCGTCAAGCCTCAGTGAAGGTGGCAGCGTTTGACTGCTCTTTCTTCTGCGGCAAATTCCTAGCAAAGGAAGGAGAAACAAGCTGTTTTAGGATGTTGTGCTCATCAGGGGACAC